GTTTATAGGGTCTATTGGATCCCCTACTCCTTCAGGAAACATGGCTCTAAAACCTCCCTGACACCATCAACATCATTTGCTTCATAACTCTCTATTTCAAGTAGAATCCCTTGTTCAGCTCAGTAGTAGTCATGCTTTTCCTTTACAGCTGTCCAAGACAGCACTCTGGCAGCAGCTAAGATGACCGGCAGAAAGTGGTGGACACCTCTATCTCTCAAATCCTTAGTCTAGGAGTGCTTGGGATTCCTTCCTAATTCTGGTCTCGAGCAAACACACATGTGGCAAAAGAAACACACAACAGAGAGAGAGAGAAGCCACCACTGTCTCATAACCGTCAGGGTCTCATATGAAGAAAAAAATCCCCAACCCTATTACTTAGCAAAATGTTCCCAACACAGTACACAAAACCCTTTGACAGTAATACTCGATTCCCCAGAGCTAACTATTTAAGATTTAAGAGTGCTTGAAAAGAAGGAAAAAACTCCACATTGTAGTTTAAGTATCTTCACCAATTAATTACATCTTAGTTCAGAAAATGAGTGATCTGCCCGTGCCCGCCTGAGCTGGGTAGCCAAGGGCGAGGCTGCCTTACTCAGCTTGAGCTTGGGAGAGGCCATGTCCTCCTCATCAGGCAGCGGGCCCAGCTCTTTCCTCTTATCCTTGAGCAGCTTCTCCAGGATGTGTGCATCGTTGTATACCTATGGGCCACACAGAGACTGAAAGTTATTTTCTAAATGAACCTTTTCTGGTACATGTGTAACTCATTCACAAGCAAGTCTGATTCTGATTCATCAGTAGGACAGAGCACAGCTGCCCCAGACGTCACCTCTCTCTCTGCTGAGCGACTGGGGAGTTCCAACTGCCCACCTGGGGTTAGCAAGTAAACGCTTCATCGCTGTGCCCCAGGCCCTTTAGGCTCCCTACAGAGTGAGGAAGCATACTCTCTATGGGGTGGGCGCAGGTCTCCATCGGTTTGCTCTTTTAAGCTTCCAGATGACTGACTACGAGGTGAAGACATGCACGTTCAAGTTTGAGAACCACTGTAGTAGATCTTTGAGTTTGAATGGAGGTTCTAGGACGCGTTTACATGTGGTGTATTCTTGATAAACTTATCTCCTCACGCAGACTCAACACTAGCTGACAGCTGAGGAGCAGAACCTCACATACTGTGAAATCCCAAATCTATTCTCAGGAAGAGTGTTGTCTGGAACCTGCTCTGGAAATGGCAGCGATTATTCCAGCACCGTGACTGCTCTCTGAAGGCTGAGTCAATGACGGGAAGATGTAGCCAGGAACAAGGCGACTCACCTAAGGGCCTCATCCCACACCTGCCGGCCCCATTTCCCCAGCCGACGAAACTCTGTCCCTTCCCTGATTGCCCACCACACCAGGTGGGCTGTGGACACCTCCCTTTAGAGCGGTCTTTTTTCTATCAGTGATAGGTAAGTGGCGTATTGTCAATGACACTGAACACAGTGTATACTCCTAAAACAGAGAGCCATTTCTGTGTCCCACAAGTACCCTCAATGCCTATTTTATTTATAATTCCAGTGCAACAGCAGATAAAGGAATTAAGTGATTTGAAAATGTGATTTACTTCTGGAGATTTAAAGTATACAAAAGACATCAGAAAAATATAAAAGAAGGAAGCATGTGTCATATTATACTGATAAAAAACTGAAAATCCATATGCTTCATACCAAAACCAGCTGTTTGGAATTTATAAGAATATCATGCCAACTCTTATATAATTATACAGCTTTCTGGCCTAACCTTTAACTATGGACACTGAGGATAGTGATAATAATTATAATAAAAGATTTTAAAGCTATTGGCTCTCAGCTGAATATTTATTTGGCACTGTGCTAAATTCTCTATCACCTCATTAAAATCCTACAACCTACCATCAATACCCTTAATTTACAGATGAAGAAGCTGAAGCTCAAAAGGGATCAAGTGCTTCAAATCCAGGGTGTCAGGTCACAGAGCATGAACTACCAAATCAACTCAGAAATGACCGTCGTAACTCAGTCACTGCAAAGAATGTCCGGGAACCTGCCTCTATAGGGTGGGGCCTCTCACCACACATTATCCTGTCAGCATCCAGAAGATGTGCCTGGCCCACCCCTCACGGTGCTGCAGGTCCTCACCTGGGAGCCCTCCTCGTTGTAGTGTCTGGCATTCCGGAACATCAGCTTCATATCCTCTATCATTCCTTCTTCTCCAGCGTATTTGTCATTGCGAATATTATGCTCAATTATTTTCAAGTCCATTGGCTCCAAGATGATTTTATAATAGTCTGGGTAATCCTTTTTGGATGGTTTAACCATAAATAAATCACAAAGTCTTCTGCCCGAACCTGGTTCTCGAGCTTCAAGAACAACATTGAATAAAATTTTCATTCGCTGTTTTCTTATGTTCTTTTTGCTGTTGAGGGAGGAGGCAGAGAAGGGCAACAACGAGACGGTGTTCAGTTTCCACTCCACCAGGAGCATGAAACGAGACAAAGTGATCTTGGGGGCAGCTGCTCCCCCATGGCTATGACTCACTGACTACAGACAGTGCACGCACACTGCACAAACTGGACGCTATAAGCAAACATGAGGAGAACCTCCAAAGCAGCTAAAACCCTGACAGGTGCAGCTAATAAATAGAGACAAACTTGTTGATAAAAGTTCTCGAGTCTGACGCTCAAAGAAAAGGAGTCTATTATCAATGGAAGCCAATTTTTAAAGACGAATGGAACAAAAGTACAGCAAGCTAGATTCCCAATCATTTCTAAACACAAACAAACACTCTGCATAATCACCTAGCACAAGAGAAGCACCCCATGTCTAAGACAACCTCCCCTCAACACCTGTGTATATAATCGTGGCTAAGGGAGACTGTCTGCTGGACCAGTCTCAGCAGTGGAGGAAAGCCTCATGTCGCATTTGCTATCAGCTCCATCCTTGTTTCCTTCCCTTCATCAGCATCATCCTACCATCCTTTTAAGTCAGTGGTTCTCAGCCTTCTTCATGCCACGACCCTTTCATACAGTTCTTCATGGGGTGGTGACCCCCCAACCATAAAATTATTTTTGTTGCTACTTCATAACTGTCATTTTGCTACTGTTGTGAAGCGGGCGACCCCTGTGAAAGGGTCGTTCGACGCCCATAGGGGTCACGACCCACAGGTTGAGAACCGCTGCTTTGAGCCAACTGAGCTTGAGGAATAAATGATTAAAAAGAAAACAAAACAAAAAAAGAACAAGAAATGATTCATGTGGCTCATCTAAGGACTGAGTAAATTTTCATCCTTCAGTGTGAATCCGTTGTCTCCTGCGAATCCCTCCACTGCAATGTGACTCTGAGAAACAGATGGGAGTGACACAGAACAAAGCACAGGGGCCACAGGGTAGAACCAGAGCCTAAAAGGGACCCAAGGGAGAATCTAATCTCCTTCTAGTTGAAGAAACTGGTTTAGAGGCTGAATGACTTCACCAAGTGCCAGTGAATTATAAGAAATCATAAAGAAATAGCCGGAAGGGAGCAAACAGTATGCAAATGAACAGCCAGGTCGATTATAAAAAGAAATAGCTTTTAACCTAATCTCTCTATTCAACACACATTCACTACGACCGTAAGATCCTACAATGTAGTACTGAAGAGAGAAGAAAATTTAAAACCTGTTTCTTGTCCTATAAGAACAACAAAGTGCTTCTTGAAGCAAATTATGTGGCTGATAAGACCAGAAACTGGATGGTGATGTTTGGCTACAATTAATTGAACATACTGACCAAAGATGTAGAAGAACCCTGGCCCAAAGGGAAAAACACAGAACAGAACTTAAAATTATCAAGTAACCCAGACTTCAAGTGTGGATGAACCCCCAAAGCTATTGCCCTGGGATGTTCTTCAAATTTTAAAAGCATCCCCTAAACACTTGTTAATACCAAATAACAGTTAACCTGACTAGTAAGAGGGCTCCCTTGAGCACGGTGTAGCTTGTTTTAAGATCGATATGGGACCCAACTGACAACAGCAACTTGAAAGATGAACTAGAGGCCTTAGAAAGCACTGCGTGTGTGTTCATGGGGAGGAACAACATGGAAGAGGAGGGTGAAACTGGATGTAACCAATGCCAATGAGTTGTACCTGCAGCAACAGGATACTGGTGGATATTCTGCTGTGTATAAGCTCAGCAACACAACAAAATCAATAAAATGAAAGAAAACAACAACCCTAAAAAAACATGCGGCTGTTATGAGACTCCTAGACTAGTTCCCTTACCACTCATTCAACTGCTCAACTATGATGAAGCCAA